AAGGGGGGCAAACCCCCCACATTTTAAAGGAGTCAAGCATAGACATTTTTTTATCCATTTAAGGTCTCAAGAGATTGTTTCTAAATTCCTCATTGTCTAGGCTCCCATTAATAGCTATTCTTACTTCTCCCATGTAAACCACGAGTTGATGTGCTACTTTCAAGTTTATAATTCGGCATTTGGATAATGTAAATTTTTCTTCAGCTGAATACAAGGAGGATCTTGATATTCCTACTTCCAATTCTGCTCCTCAAAAAGAATTTTCATTAAATTAAAGTTAAATATTGTATTTTCACAGCATAAAATGTCTTTGTATGTGTGCATATACTATATAATCTACTTATAACAAAACATACTTATATAATCGCTAGCACATGTATAATGAAATGAGTACTATTATTATTGATCCTATTTTACAAATGATGCACTAAGGTGCAGAGATGATAAATAGCTTACCAAAGGTCCAATATCTAGTCAAGTTTTGTTCAGATTAATACCCAGGCCATTTATCTTTACAATGTGTTCCTACACATTATGCTACGTAGGGTATGTTTCAGTAAATCAGCAGGTTTTCTTATGAAAATCAATCACTTTCTCTTCATTTTGGGAGAAATCATAGTGAGATGAAGAGCACATATTTTGAAAGTATATAGGCATTGGGTTCATATCCTAAATATGATTTTTAATAGCTCCCAATTTCATTGGGAATATTATTCAGCTACCTGAACATATACATAGTCATTCTTTTCTTGCAAAATTATAATTTACTGGCTAGTGGCAAAGATTAAATTAAACTATATAGATTGAGAGATAACGGTCTAGCATTTTTTTTTTCTGTTTTGCTGAAAGATCACAAACACCTAAATTCAGGAAAAAGAGATGGATTATTCAAAGATTATAGTTGACTAATATCTTAATCAATTGAAGATTTTTTTTAAAAATTATGCTATACCAAAACTTCCAGATGGATTAAAAATGGCAACATAATTTTTAAAGTATGAGAAGTGAAAAACTAAGACTATGCCAAGATTATTAACATAAAAGGAAAAGAACATATATTCATTTATCTAGATAAAAATACAAAATGTTTATCAAAAACAAAATTTTGTAAACTACACCTAACAGGGAAAGTTAAAAATAACACATTTAAGAGACAAAAAAATAATGTATTTAATTTGCAATGAGCTCTTTCAAATTCAGAATGAAAAAAACAACTGCTGAATTAAAAAATGAAGAAGTTCATGACTAAGTAATCTACAAGAGAACAAATACAAATGATTAGTCGACATATAAAAAGAGACTGAATGTCAATGAAAAAGAATGTAAATTTAAAAGACCTGTTTTTCATTTTCAGATCATCAAAATTTAAAACCATGGATAATATCTAGTGTTTAAAGAGTAGTGGAAAATATTCCTATCAAACATTGTTTAGGACAATGTCAACTGATCTAGTATTTTTGAAAGATAATATAGCTATACCAAAATTTATCATGTAACCTGATTCACACAGAAATTCCACTTCTAAGTCTTTAGCCGAAAAATTAATTGCACGGTGCAAAAAGTTTTATCAACTAAAACGCACATTATTGCAGTACTAACATGAAAAAAATACATTAATGTGGCACTTACTCAACACATTTTATATACAGAATATAAAAAGTAAAGAAAGAGCTCTATATACTGACATGGAAAATGCTTATCCTACATTAAGTAGAAGACAAGATGGCTGAACAATATTTAAATATGTATATATGGTATGATACCATTTACATACGAAAATATGTTTTATTATCTATATCTATATATTAAAATCACATATTATTTTATGTTTTTAGTGTTTTAATTTCTAACAATGATAAAGGTACTTTTACAGTTAGAAAACTAAATTTATTTCTATTTTGATGAGTTAATTCTGAATTCAGTTTCTGTCTTGTTTATGTTGGTTTTAGGTGTATATGTACAATTTTTTTAAGATAGAGTTGTATGAGTTCAACTGTAACTTAGATTCTGAAGGGTTGGTGTAATATTTATCTCTTCACTGATTATGCTTTGGTGTTAACAATTTATGCTTAAATATTTTTTAAAACTTCAAATAATTTTATGAACCTCTTCTAAGACTCCTTCCAGCCAGCACTGTCATTTTCTTAGTACCATAACCATACAAATAAAGGAGGCAGAAAATGTTCTAGATTTTCAAGTCCTAGATTTTCTCTCAGTCTCAATTTCTTGAAACCATAAAGTCTGCTTTGAAATTTTTGCCCTAAAATAATAAGATTGTTGAAGCCACTGTCACACTTTATAGATGAGGTAAAGTTGTTCTTTTTTTTTATCATTACTCTTTTAAATCAGGTTGAACATCAAAAAATCACTGTTAAAATCAAGTGTGTCTTTTCCTTTTTTTTTAAGCTAACAATCATATACTTAGATTTAGATCAGAATACTTTAGGAAGATTGTGTGTGTATGTGTGCACACACTAGCGAACATACATGTGTGCATGCATGTGCACGTACACAAATGCATGCATGCCTGTGTATGCATGTGTAAGTGTTCTAGGGCTGTGTACATGTGTATGTGTTGTGTGTGTGTATTTACATACACACATATGCTGTATGTCTGTGTTTATATGTCTTTTAGTGCCTATGTGTGTGTGGTCGTGTATATCTTGTTTGTGCATGGTATAATAAGAGAATATCTAATAACGCAATGTTTATAGTACATCTAAAATAAAGCAGATATATGTTTTCCCATTTGCAGACAGTACTATGTATGATAAAAGAGCTTTAATTACATGTGGGCAACCACTAAAGGCTCTACGTAAACATCAGCAGCATTACCTCTGAGGTCAAGTTTATAGGGTAATTACATTTCTGAAAATCCAGGATTCAATGTACTGTGAGACTGAAATCCAAATTTTGATAAATGGATTTCATGCAAATATTGTTTATTCTAAGATGTTAAAAATGAAACACGATATGATTAATTTTATACTGTAGCACTACAAAACTGTGTTTCTCCTAACTGCTTCATTTCTTCCCGCAACTGCAAAGCCTACTCTAAATGCACAGAACAATAAAATATGTTCACAACCTGAAAAATGGCTAAACTCAGTCCAAGAGGCATAACACTGAAAGTTGAGGTATGTAAAATTTTTAATTGATTGTTATTTACTTTTTTTTGATCGCTTGAAAAGTTTAGAATTTTAAAGAGGTATGGAATAACTACATACATTTTTTTCTATCTTGCGTTTTACATTTCATTTATTTCTGCATTTTCTTCCTCCCATTTGTTTCTTATTCAGATTTATAAATAATAAAAGAATGTTTGTGGTATTTGTAAAAATGATTAAACGGGTCACAGAGGAATGTTTTTCTCTGATTCTTTTACTTCTTTTTAGGTTATTTTTGTCTTCATAGTTAAATCTTAACTTTGAAAGGTAGTGGTACTCTTGTTTTGTTTTTTTGTTTTTTTGAAGGAAGTAGAAGAAAAGGAGAATATAGTCTTGACTTAGGGAAATATTTATAAATCAACCTTGAAGATTATTCTATTTTACTTCTGTGAATAATCTATTCTGGGGCATGTATAAACACACATACACACACACACATTAATTTGGGGTAAGAAGGTTAAGTATTAGAGAAAAAGAAAAGGAAGCTTTCTGTCGAGAATCAGAAATGTATAAAAGCAAGGAAATAATCCAGGCTAAATCAAAGGATAAATCTCATTCACTGTGAACATGCATATTTTGATATACAATACGATTTTATACTTTTGAGTCTAGTAGAATAAAAGAATGTATAAGAACTTAAGTTTACTTAAAACAGGAATCTCACATTGCAATAGATCTTTTGCTGGAAAATATTCTTTGTAACAATCTAAAACAGCTAAAATGTGTGTTTCTTACAAATTATAAGTTATATTTTATGAAAATTTCTAACTAGAGCTGCCTTAAACCCTTCCTAAAGCAAAGTAGGGTATTAATAGATAAATAAATTTGCTGTCTACTTAACTTATTAAACTTAAATCATGTTGGCCACTTTAGAGTTTATATATATATTTTAAATGTCCTGTACTATCCATTCACATATACAAATAATGAACTTAAATATAGGTATGCATATCACTATGATTGTTCCAATGGTGACATCAAATAAGTAAGAGGACATCCTGAGAATAAAATGTTTCTTAGGGGATATGACTTTTAAAAAGGTTTCACTTCTCATGTCCACAAGAAGAATATGCATTTGTAAACAGATCATTTGAATTCTGAGTCTCTTTATTTGATATTTATCATAAGTCTGATACCTATGAGCATACTAGTGACACCCATAAGATGTAGAAAAGTATTCAGTAGAAAAACAGGGAAGAATTAAATATTAATCATTGGAATATCAAAGTATGAGATAGGAATAGCCTAGTTATATGCCCATGAAAACATTACTTGTGTCTGTGTAACAAAGAAGTGATGCAGTGGGTCAATGAGTGGCAAAATAACTGGAAAAAGAGATAGTGACATGCCTACAGAAACGCATTTATGAACTTCCTTCTTGAACAACATTTTTACACATTTCAGAGGAAAACATCTTTTTTTTCACCACCCCCAATGGCCAATACTTACTCTGATATTCTATATTATCAAATTCACCGAAAACAAACAGAAAATGTAATGGGGTGAATATCCACAAACTGATTGGACCCTAAGAATTACCCAGACGCTTATTAAATATTTAGGTTCCCAGGTTCCACGTACACCTATTGAATATAAATCTCCATAGGAGGGGTTTTTTGATTAGGCAAGATTTGCAAATGGACAATATATAATAAAAACATGAGATATTTTATAAAAAGTCACCTATTCTGATTTCATAGCAACGCTTCTTAAAGGTTGACAAAAAAGAAGGCAAGGATTTTGACCCGTTATTATTTTGAAATGTTTGGTCCAGTGCAGAATGGGAGAAAATATTGAACTTTCTATGTTTTAATGTCTGGGTAATGTACTTACTACAGTTTTCAGCTTTCCTGTTGTCCCGGATTACTATCCTTTGGTTGAGAGTACTGAAGAGTGTTGTCCAGTTAATGGTATGATAATAACACAGGTTGCTGTTGTCCGTAATATAGATGTTTCCTGCACTGATTTCCTTCAGGGACTGGAACTGCAGGGAAGTGATGCCTTGTTGCTTGAGGATTAGCAAGGAGAGGCCACTAAAGACAGGGGAGAGGGAAAATGGAACAATAAGAACTATTTTCCTGTCAGGGTATTCATTCTTGAAGCAAAATAAGGATTTCACATCTTACTCCAAAAATAATGTAAGTAGGGCATAAAGAGAGATTGATTCAACACATTGGTGCTCAGGATATTAATTTTTTACATGCTGCACACTGGCAGTATTTACAGTAATACCCAAAAGGAAAATGTTCATTTTTAGAAATACGAATATTAATGACACCTCTGTCTCTGTCTCCATATTTACCATTGCATATCGGCTCCCTTCCTGCCCCTCTACCCGTCACATCTTAAGTTCTCAAGTATGAAAACCTGTGTTAAGACTAAACAATTAAATAAATGTGCAGAATGGCTTTTCATCTATACAAAGTAAGTTATTAATTATACTCTAACTCTTTAATAGATTTAGAATGTTTTCCAAGGATAAATATTGCAGAGAATGACTATAGATATTTAGCTTTAATTAATTCAGAAACAAAACTGTGATTGTAATAGTTGAAGAATATGTAAGGATAGTAGGTATTAAAAATTAAAGAGAATGAAATTAAAATGAAATTTTAAGAAATACTCAGAAGGCTTGAAAAACTGGGGAAAGCATCTCTAAAAGTTAAATAACCCTACACTGTGGAAACAACTTTTCAAGGAATTGCTTTGATTTCAATATAGTCCACATTTTGTAATTAAATCCCTTTCCCATTCTCTAAAGAATAAATATGTTTCCAACATTTCAATCAAATAATAAATATTATTTTACATTTTAGAGATCAAAATTGTCTCCTTTTACTTATACATAAATCTAAGTAGTATATGTTGCTGTTAGTACTCAGCATTTTTCCATTTTATATACTATAAACACATGTATAATACATATATAAACATACATGAATGTGTGTATACACATGTGTGAATATATATATATATATATATATATACACACACACATATATATAAATTATGTGTGTATATGTGTGTACTCAGCTGAGGTGTAATTCATTCTCTCAGTTCTTTGCTCCCATCATAACTACCTTGAGTTTTTTATTACAATGTGAGCATAATAAGGCCTTGACAGATTTATAATGTTTTATTCAATTGATAGTAAAGTTGGTTCATATAATACTTGAGTAGATCATATCTCTTAATTATCCTTTTTTATAGTTCACTTTTCCTCTTTTGATTGTAAAACTTCTTACATATATGCCTGCTTTAATTGCAAAATGCAATGAACTTTCTGGGAAATATTATTACAGAATATCTGATGACAACATTGATTTTAGGCATCTTTCAGATTTAAGCAGGAAAATTAAATCAGTTTTTAACTGTGCATAAATAAGAATTTCATGCAGATGAAATCTGAAGTAAAATAAAAGCAGTGGCCTAATAAATACTATCCCTATACTTTTATTATGTGAATAAACTATATTGACATTAGTACTTCAGAACAGTATCCTCTGAGGCCTGATTTTTCTGCTTATTATAACCAGCAATGCATGTAGTTTGGTGGACCGATGCCCAAAACATCACCTCAGTAATGCTTGGTTTAAATGATAGCATCAGACAGAATGTGAACTTCCTAGAAAAGCAGAATGATTACCCCATACACCCAAGCCATTTCCAAGTCATCCAAGTCTATCTTTTAATTATGATAACATATAATCAAAAAGAAGCTTTAATTTTATGGTTGACATCATGCAGTTCATACCTGCAAAGCATTAATATTACTTTAAGTGATAGGTGGTTGAAAAATCAAACTGTGTATTCTGTTTACTTAAAGCACAATTGGGGTATTTTCATTGAACTCACATTTGTAATTAAAAGTTGAAACCCCATATTCCTAGAATCAGTAAATTCAATGAGGCTGATGGCTTTGACATAATGTACACATGATGTTAACCTTGAAATTGGGGAGACTTGCATCTTTTAACATATACACCTACCTATAGAGTACTCTTCCACCAATAGTCACCAGGTTAGAAAAAACACTGAAGTCAGTCATGTTTGGGGGCCATGACTGTATGTTCAAGAAACCTACAAAAAATAGGGCAGTAAAAAATTTCAGAATATCATTCTTAGTAACAGCATTTAATACTAAATATTCTTGAAAATGGAAAAAATGTGTTCAAAGATAAAAAGTAAGAAAAATCAGTGAGTACTACTATTTTTGAACCACTTGATCTCATATTTCTTCTTCTAAGATTGAGTGTCTTATCCAAAGTTTCTGAGCTACAATACTCAATAGATAATGCATATCAAAATAAGGAGCACCAAGGATCTATGTTTCTCAGATATAAGGGATCATACAATTTCATATGTTAAAATATCTAAACAATTCTGAATTTAATTTATTCTTTTAAAATAAAAATATATATATATAATCTAACTAGATAAAGAGGAAAAATAAAGCTTCAATTTCTCTGACATCCTTGACCACTTTATCTATATACTTATGACATCAGTTGTCTGCCTTGCATTCTAAGGCATATACCTATATATCTAACTCTCCTCATTTGATTTTAGAACTGTAGATAGCAAATCCATGTCTAATTAATGTCTATGAGCTTTTATCACATACTATAACAGCTCTTAACATATTACGTGCTCAATAAATATGCGCTAAATGAATTCTACATATTACCCATGCTCAATAGCATTTCTTGTGAAAAAGTAGAAAGAAAAACATGGGTTCAAAGATCAGTTGACCCCTGCAGAAACAATAACACCGAAATTTCAAGGATATTTTTGTTTTTAAATCCCATGGGCTGTCAAAATATGCACAAATGCTAGGAAGTAAAGACACTCTCATTTAAAATGATGCTCACTTTTAAATCTAGCATTTACTTTGAAAATGAGTTCCCAATTCCAATATTATGTAATATTTTCAAGATAACACTAAAATTCACATAGTTCATTGCACAACAATAACATTTTAAAAAATTACCTGTTATCTCTCGGACTGTTCGGAAGACATTCAGTTTCTCTGGGTCTATGGCTTCAATTGCATTGTAAGGGTCGCTGGAAAACCAAGAAGGCATGCAGTCAAATTTAAAATTAAATAAAGGAGTGAAAAATTTTAAAAAAGTGACAATAGTTATTCCATTCAAGTTAAATTTTAATTAGCAAAAGGAAGGTTAGCAATTTCTTCTCCAAATTTTTCTGTTAGATGTGAAAGGGAATTAAAAGGTGCTTTGAGGAATATTTTGATGGCATAGAATATGAGTTCTTTTATCAAAGGCTATTCTAGATCTAGAGTAATAATTAGGTTTGACTATCTTGAAAAAACCTGCAAATATACCAAGTCCATTTACAAACCACTTTATTTTATTTTGCCTTTAAAATTTATTATGGGAAATATACTTTGCAAGTAAATTACGTTATGGTGAGAACAATTGCTTTTGGGCTCCTCAAAGCATTCTGAATTGTTACTAGCACCTGCAGTTTCTTAAGAATAAAAACAAAGACATGAAGTCAACATTTTTCTTTTTGCTGTATATTCACATTTATCTGTTAGTGAATATTCATAATATTTGCAATATTGTATGAAAGCTACTCTTCATATGAATTATTTAGAGCAAGCTTGTTCCTATCTGGTTTATTTATATTAAGTTTTATAACACAGGGGCTATTTGCTTCCATTGATATGAATCATATTAACATTTGAAAACAAAATTTACAACAAATTTAATAATACCCATAAAGTGTTATAAATTTTGGAGATTAAAAAAAATAACATCTTCCATTGCATAATTATATATATGTGTGTATATATATATACACACATATATATGTGTATATATATATATATATATATATATATATCTCCTGTCTCTTAAAAATGAACATATATTTTTTCAATTAAATATGTAATAGAATATTTCAGAGATTTTCATGTTAGAAAAAAATTTTTTATCAGGTATAATATACTGACAATACAAAATAATTGCATGCTTGAATATTATGCCTAACATAAACATAATAATATCAAAAATTTATCAGTAATTCAAGCAATAACTGGTTATTTTAATGCATACATAGTACTTTTTAAAGATGTTATTTTAAAAGATATTCTGTGCTATCCTGAGACTTCATATGACTGTCAATGGCCACTTCTCCAAGAGAGATCAAACCTTCTAAGAACATGGAGCTATGGCTTTTTAGAAGCATGTATCCACCTATAGCAATCAATTGAATTTTATTCTTGCTGTGGACATCTGCTGTTTTATAAGTCTTTAAGAACCTTCTTTTTTGATTGGGGAATAAACACTAGGGTATGGTGATCCACTGAATGCAGTTTTAATAGGGCTATCACTCAAGGTAACCCATAATCCCTGACAGATAGGCATATGGCCTGTCTCCTGGGAATTTGAGTGAATCCATTGGCATTTATTCATCCTAGCCTTAGAGCCTCGGAAAGACTCTCTACTAGTTCCGGCAATCTTGATATCTGGAACCACCTTGTACTGGCCCTCTCAACTCAATTCATCAGCATGTTCTTCTATACTGTGAACCATCCCATATCTTCAAAGAAAAAAAAATGCTTGATGAAATTACTGTTTCAGACTAAGAAGCACAATTGATACAATGTATGACTCGTTTAACATGGATCATTATAGAAGACTTGGAGAAACACTATAAATTAGTTTCTCTATAATGCATACATAAACAAGATTTTTCTCAACGTGACATGAGGATCTCTCAAAAGCTTACAATTAAATTTTCAGGCAAACTTGCTCTATTTATAACTGAAGATATACAGAATAAATAACCATGCTTTTGGTAAAAATAAGCCCCCAAATTAAACTCACCATGTGGGAAAACTCTTGTTGATATCCTATTTTAAGTGCAAGATTTTGTACGGAGAAAAATATGAGCTCTGCAGTAGTAGAATTAGCTTTCAACATTTTTTTTTTATGAAAAGCAGTGTATAGAACAGTTTTGGTCATATAATAAAATATTCTGGTTTTATTGAGAAACACTCAAAATTCAGGGCAAACACATAATAATGGGGTCAATCCAAACCCTTCCTGAGAACATGTCCAGGTTGCCAGGAATGAAATGAATTGTGAACTGTTCCCATGAAGTCCAATGGACCACAGAAATTTTATATATGTAATATTAGAGATTCAGGACTCTCATAAAATAAGCTGACAGAATCCTACTTACCAACGTCAAAATACCTCTAGGGCTTTTCATTCTACAGCCACTTGAAAACCATAGTAAGGTAAGATTGAGAACTTTTCTAGCTCAAGTCAGAGCCATGAGCAAGAACATTATGTCCACACTGTCATTGTGTTTGGTGATCCAATATAACACTCAATATAAAGAGAGAGAAATGTATTTTCACAGTTCCTTTGAAAACGTTCTGTTTTTGTTTTTTTTCATTATCACTTTTTCATTGTCTATCATCATTGTAGTCTATCACCTAAGTACTTTCTTGTCAGTGTCTCATTGTGACACAGCATGGACATACTTTTTTGGTGAACATTTTGCTGCTCTAAGCAGATGTGTATAAGCAATGTCAAACATGTCAAGTTATAAAAGATTATTCCTATGTATAACCCTAAACAATTGAGTTTTACCTGCAGTTCCCATTCTAAACAAGGAAATAAGAGTACCTAGTCTATTTCTGGCAATGGCATCTTTGTGTTATAAACTAAACACTTTCTCTTATTTCTTCTTTAATTTACAGCTAGATAATTAAAATGTATCACTTTATAAAATTATGTATATAGGTAGGCTATCTCATTGATGATTTTTATTTCATAATCGAAAAGGAAGTGTTAAATGCTTTAAGATATAAGACAGAGATGCTGGGCCTGATTGGGATGAAAACCACTTGTCTAATGCAATTCATGAGGCTGATTTCAAATTTTTCCACATACTGATTGACTTGAGGCCAATTCATTTATTATATCCATGTGGAATCAGGCAATGTGAATCAAATCTTATTTCTCAGAAGACACTGTTAACATGATATGTCCTGTCATTCATGGTGATACTTGGTTTTAAAAATAGTTAAAATGGGGATGTATTATTTTACTTAATGCTACATATACATTAAATTATATAGATGCACATAAATATTGATCCAGGTGTTCTACCTAATGGGGCCACAGAGGGGAAGAGCATAATGTAAATGGATTCAGACAGCCAGCAGGGACTATGATAAATTCAACTGAATACATCCCATCTCAAAATGGCTAGCACTATGCATCTCAAACAGATCAGTGCCATGTAACAATGTGGGCTAAGAGTATCTTGACCTTATTAAAGAAGATACTGCTTGGGCCAAATATAACACATCTGGGTAAAAAGTGCATACATACTATTACAGTATCTGGCATAGACCCATATTAAAAGCTACTTTTTTAAAGTAAAAAAAAAATGCTTTATGCAGTAAGACCTAAGTAATTTATATAAAGAGAAATACTTGGTTCAATTTCTTTTGATGTTCCTATTTAGACATATTCATTCAAAATGTGTTAAATTATTTTGCTTCTAGAAATTATGTGATACATGTTTAGAGTAAGATTTTGAATCAAAATATGTGAGTGATATTCTTTATCAGTAGCCTACAGCAATAATATTTAGGGAGTAAGTAGTAATATAGACAAATAGATAAATATAAAGTAAAAATATTGACATTTTTATTGCAATTGAAAGAGCAAACTTGGTATTTTTCCCAGTTAAAACCAGCAGGTGGTTCTGTAATGAAGAAGACCAGAAAAATCTTACAATTTTTAGCAATAAAATGAAATTAATTTAATAGATCTCTTATAACAGTACTAACTTCCCAACCTAAGAAAAAGGAAAGAAAGATACATCAGGGCAATGAAAAATTCCGAAAACTTAGGACAATTTCAACCTCCTGCTTGGTGTTTTGTGAGATACAGTTTGAAGGAATATTCATTTATGTTGTCTTAAATTAATTGATTAGGAATTTTAATAAAATTCCCCACTTTGCCCATTGATATTGTTTCCCTAAACATATCTAAAAATATGTCAGGTTTGCTGCAATCAATGGACCTAATGAGAGTGTCCTGCAAATACCTTTTAGCTTATATATAAATTAATATTTTTAAATCTAAGTATTCACTAATCTCATAATTGGGATGTATCCCAAACTTGCTTACTATCACTGCTTGTGAAATTTGTCATTTGATTTTGTTGGAGAAGAGCATGTAAGGGTGGAACTCTTCTGGGTCAAAAGAATTCAAACAGACAAAGTTAAAGAGTCCCTTAAGTTTAGTCTACACTTGGTAAAATAATTTTCTGCAAAAATTCAATACTGACCCATGAATACCAGTGACAAGAAAGATCAAATTCCCGTTGATTTTGGTGCAGTTGATGAATTTGTCGATGTTACTGGAATCCACGGTCTGTGCTGACATCAATGATCCCGTACCAATGCCATCGCAAGCTGTAGAAACAAGATTCACAATCTGGAAATTGACAAACTTCTTTGTTTTGTTTTGTTTTTGTCAGTATATCACTATAAAATAACAGTATTTTTCCATTATAAAATGAAAAAAAATTCATCATAAGGAATTAATTGCTTTCTAACAAAATAATCGTTCATTCATGCAACATTTACTACTTGGCCTGCTTTAAAATATTGTCTTGCATTATCACCTAGTGATTATGACTCATAAGATTTATATTTTATATCAAGACCCAGTATATAGATACAACAGAAACATAATAAAAACAAAACTTTCAACAATCAATATTTACCGTTATGACACAAAATCACTATTTTCTAATCCAGCCTCAAATATTGTTTTTAATACATTTTAAACACTGGTCACTTCAAATAATTTCATCGCCTATGGATGGTAACACTGGTCTAACTAAGAATGTATATATTAAACAGAGTATTGATGATGTGAGTTGTAATCGGAATCAAGAGTCATTCAAATATTTATACTTAAATTGAGTATTACCTGTGCTTTCTGAAGGCTCTACTTAAAACAAAACACACACACACACACACACACACAAAAACAGAAAATGTGCATGTGTGTGTGTGTGTGTGTGTGTGTGTGTGTGTGTGT